TCAACTCCATGTGGTCAGCTGCCCAGAACCATGTGCTTGGTGGTTCTTGTTCACCATTAAGCCATCTTTCCAAACAGCCTCCCTGTTTCCAGTGTCTTTTTGCCGGCTTGGAACTGAACCATATAGATCTTTTTTCCAACAGTAGGCATTTGGACTTTGTAGCATACTGCAGAATGACACCTGGGCAGGTGTTTTTCTTCTAAATTTATGAATATGTATAATCATTTTGTGGCTCACAAAGAATAAGGTAATATTTGTGTGTTCATTTTTTATTTTAAGCTGAAGTAGCTAAACAAGAGCATCTGACAAAGACAAAAGTTGAGGTCATGGAAAACTCTGGTTTGTTTAACTGGATTTTGGGGAGTTTGCCACCATTAGTTGTTTTAACATATTAAATCTGTTGGAATTTAAAACTCACCCCTCTTCTAGGAAAATGAAATATTTTAGGATATACTAAAAAGGCAGAATATTTCCCCTAAAAAGAAAAGTAGAAACTCAGAGAGGCAGAAACCCAGCCCCCCCAACAACCTTTACTAATGGATCATTACTCTGGCCTAGGCCAGTCTATTTTACAAAACAAAGTTCTACTCCAGATAGAGCTATAATAGAAATTGCCCAAGGCCCTTTCATTACATCATAATCCAACAAGGCTCAACCAAGTCTGGGACTCAGGACAGCCTACAGAGTTGTCCCGCATGGCCCCATGGGAGTCTGACAACCAATCAGAATACAAGTTCAAATTGAAATCCCAACTGAGGGTATAAAACCAAGGGACTCTCAGCATCTCTGCCCTTTTTCCTTCAACCAAGGCATGTGATCTCTCCACCATTAAACCGTCTTTCCAAGCAGTCACCATGTTTCCAGTGTCTTTCTTCCCCAGTTAGAACTGAACCCAGAAGGATATTTCTTTCAACAAACCAAAATACCCATAATTGTTTACACTGAACGAACAATATACTTTAATAAACGTATAACTGCATCTTCAGTTCCCACAAGACCTTCTAGGATATGTTAAAGCATCACACTCCAATGTAGTAGCTCTTTTGCTACGTTATTAAGTATAATGCTTTCTTAGAAGACACACATTCTTTGAGGGACATACTTTAATATGAGGAAATGTGAAATTGTTAAAAAAAAACAACCATTGTATCTTGTTCCTAAAACTGCCCAGTTACAGAAAAATGGTCTGGGAACACCAATATTAGTGTAGGCTAGTTAAGTAAATATATGAAAAGACCTATCAAGGACAAACCCAGGCATATACAATAAATGTGACTTTTTTTTCTGTCTGGAAGTTCACACTTCACCTTTAAATGACATACCAGGGATATGCCAAGCTTGAGCAAAGTCTAAATTTCATTTACTTTAAAGTAAAATACATTTCAAAGTCCAGTCTACAGCATTATTTAATAAACCTCTCTCTCAACATTACAATTTTTGGAGGTCTTTGAACACCCCATTAAAAATCCATCAGAGACCGAATGCAGCTTAGGGTGTGGCTAGTTTAAGTCTGTCTCATTCATGGCCTGGGGATGAGATAAATTACACCTCATGATGATGCAGAAAAGAAATGTTTTCAGATTATATCTGTGCCATATTTAGTCAAAGCAGAGACATAAAAGCCTCTCTCATTTTGACTGTCATCCTTCAGAGCATGAACACGCATAAAAGAAAAATATACCGTGCTTTGCAAGTCGTACTGAAATGTTTACATCTGTATTTCTGATCAGTTATTTCTCATATAAATAAATGGCTAGGCGTTTCTACAATCTTATTAGTCTACACCCTTCGTCTCCGCCCCTATTATAGCTACTGCTTCGTCATGACAGCAGCCATCACTAATAGTGCAAGTCCCTTACGCCTGAGGATCCACTAATACGTCGCCATCAACACCAGCTACAACTTCCCAGTGATTATTTTCTGCCACTATCCTTCCCAAACCCCTCCACTTCCAGCCGCAGCCGCCAAACCCGCTTCCCCACGACGGCTCCTTTCCGCGTTTGCGAGCCTCAAAGCCAACCGAGCCCGCTCATGCAGTGTAGGGGGCGGGCCTAAATCAAGCAGGAGGATGGGATGGAGACGCGGGGGCGCTGCTAATGCCCGCCCATCTTCGGCCCACCGCATGCCGCAGGGGGAATGCATGTTCCTATTGGCTCTCTTTCGACAAAGGCGTGGCCTCTTCTTCCCTGCGCTTGTCTCCAATTGGCGACGGCTCGTGTCAGTGACCAAAAAAACAACAACCAAACAACAAGTTACCCAACTCAGCAACACCTCCCCGAAAGCTTTGCAAGCGGCAGCGGATCTGAGCTCGGGCTGGACGCGGGAGCAGAGAGTCGGAGAAGGCGAGAGCGGGGAGGGAAGTGCCGGTGGGATTGTCGCGGGCGGACATAACGAAATTAGCAGCGGCAAGAGGAACAGCGGAGGCGGCCGTGATTGAAGCACATTGCGGATCGGTGCGAGGCCCGGTGAGTCGCTGGATTCTGGGTATGGGGGCGTTGACTCCCGTCTGTCGACCACTCTCCTGTCATTGCACGCTCCCTACAGCCCTCGCATCTTTGCTGTCATCCTTTCCCCCCTCCTCCTCCTCCTCTCGCTTCCCGTGACCGCCCCCTTTTAAATCATACCCACACCCACCGCCCACCACCCTCGTACCAAAGGCTGTCGCCCTTGAAGATGCCGCCTACTTCTTTGATGCGGCTCCCCCCCCACCCCTGCCTCGCACACGCATGCTCCCATCTGCCAGCCGCGGTTGTTGCTCCCCACCTCTCCCCTCGCCTTGGCGCCTCCCCTCGGTAGCTCGAACCCGCTTGGCGACTCCTCAGGTTCGCCTTTTTTTTTTTTCCCCACAAGGATTTTCCTCACGTCTTTGCTTCGGGGGATTTCTCCCCACGGTTATCACAGCCCATCTTCCTGCCCCCTCCCAAGCAAGAGCCCGCAGCAGAGGTGAGTGCCAGAGCTGACCAAGTCTTGCATCCCTGAATAAATGGTCCTGAGAATTTTAGGAAGTGGCCGGGTTCCCGTTGCAATGAATCTCTTCTGATTGCCAGCCTGCTTGACATTGACCTGGCTTTAGCTTAAGAATCTCAAACAGCTTTTCTTCCTTCTCAGCTGCCGGTCGCTTATTTGTATTCCTATGGTATGTCATGTGAGTCTTCTGTCTGAAGTGCTGTGCGTTTCAAACCCTGCCTCCTACCATGAGTTAGGAATGAGCAATTTTGGGGATTTAGAGTTCCTGCAGACATAAAATATTTGTTGTGTTTCGATGCCTACAGTGTTCATTAAAGCTGTAATCTGGGCTGCAAGATGTGCATCAAATTTATTTTCTATTTGCTCTTATTTGCTCTAGATTCTTGCAAGATAAAACTAAAAAAATCTCTGGGAATATTCAAGCATGAAAGAAATGTTCATTTACTAGCTGCTTCTTCCTCAGTGAAAGAAATGATATAGACAGCTTTAGATCACTGACAGCTAGTGTGATGACAAAATCATGAAAGCACCCTGGGATGAAGTTTGGATTTTCTTTAGAAAGATAGGTTCGGGGATTCCCCTCATGATGCCGTCACTTGATTTTGCTCTGAAGTGCAGCTTTCCTTACTATCTCATTGTAGTCATGAAAGCTGCACTGTAGTCAACTATAGTCACTGTAGTCAACAGCAGAACTAATAAACATATTTTATTTTAAAAGTATTAATGGGCATTTCTGCTATTTCTTCTTAAAGTGGCTGAATTTTACAGTGCAGTATATGTACATTCCTAGTCGTGGACTATATATTGTTAGTTTGCTACACTGATTTAATTAAAAATCCCTTCTGTCATGTAAGCATTCTCAAATTATGCAATCACATCTAATATTACAATCAGTTGTTTAATTTTTAAAAGACAAAAGTAGTTCAAAGAAAGTGTTTAATTGCTTGACAGGTAGTGCAAATTAAATCTGAAGGTAATGAAGTAGACAAAATTTCTTCCTTGGCCTCTCACGCCAAATATCTCAGGACATGTCACCATTTTAAAATCTGTATACAATATTTGAGTGCAGTACACGTAGCTGTTGGCTAATGTTGAAGTTTGCCACCAAATGAGGCAGTTGAAACAAAATCAGTGCGTTATATAAGGTCCATGGGGAAGAAGAAAATATCTTCAATGCAATCTACTTATTTTTCCCCCTTACCTTCTATCACCTGCTTTCTTTGGTTAGAAAATTAGAAAATGGGGCCAATTTTTAAATATAGATTCTCTTAAATGGTTTTATTATTATAAGAAAGAAAAAATAATTTAAACTTATTCCCATGGTTTTGAATGTAAAACAGTTCTTGGCAGGATTTTGGTTTGGAATCACAGCACTAAGTATATGCCAAACTATCATAACTTCTACATATATTAAGGAAGTAGCACAATCCTATGTGAACTTAATGGGATTTAAACATGTATAGAATTGCCCAGATAAATTGTATAATTAAATTCCATGTTATTTGAGATATACATTTCAGTGCTCAGTACTAATTATACAGAGAGCTATTCTGTAATTAATATTTGCATTTATGCATGTGGATTGCACACTCTAATATATGGTTACGTTTTTCATATACACTAGTTTTATCCCTAAAACAACCTTGAAGATCACTGCTTCCATCTTCATGATATAATTGAGATACTGATTTATTCCAGTTTTGTATTCAGGTTTGAAACAAGAACTTCCACCTCAGATGCTTAACCTGCAACTTTAATTAGCTATTTGATTAGTAAGATAAACATAGCAAGTCTGAATGCTATCTTCAGGAATTTAATTTTGTGCTTAACATAATTTAGTACAATCAATTTACTCTAACATTGCAAATTAAAGTTCTTTGAAATCAGTGAAACAATTGTGTGGAATTTTGGGTGAACTGCATTGAATTTCATATTTATATTATTGCTCATTCATTTTTGAGGATGTTCTAATTTTTCTGATACCATAGCTTATTATTCTTAAAATCTGTAAACATAAATTTTCTGTAGATAGCAGAATAAAAGTGAAACTGTTTTCTTTAGTTATTCATGTAATTTAATTACTGATGATTTCTAAGTTTCAAAATACATTTGTATGGCTTGCTTTAAAACAGAAAGCTGTATTGAATTATGTTTATAATGATGAAGACCCACTGCATGAATCAGATCTTCTTCCATGTGTCAAACTTGTAATAGAAGTTTTGAAGTTTTCTGATAATGGATATCTAAAAGCATTTTATTTGTAATTTAATAGAAGACGTTTGATTTATCTGAAACAACGATTGTATTAATTTTATAGTTAAATTTATTTTTAAATTAGTATTTATAAAACTAGAGGTTAATTCTGGACATTTTTATTCTCTTTAATTAATTCTCCTTAATGAAGCCTAAATGAAAAGCTAGATAATTCACTTCCTCTAGGGTCTTTGAAGCTGCAGTTCAATCATCTTTCCCATAACCTCTTGGATGTTGATCAAAAATTATTTAGTACTGTTGGTTCTCCTGAATATTTCCTGATTAATAAATTCGCCACTGTCTGGGCCCAATCATTGTCATTTCCTTGGAGATCTTGTTAAAGTAAGAGAAACATAGATCAACATATATATGGCTGCACTACTTCAAAATTTACAGGCTGAAACTGCTCCCAAATAATCAAGCCAGACTATATCCCTCAGTCAGCTAAGGAGTCTATATAACTGAAGGATTTGAACAATGTTATACTTAAATGCCTAAGATGTGTTTTAAAATGTAAACCTTAAACAATTCATGCTTAAATTGAGTCCAAATAAGGCAAAAATGTATCTTTTCTAGTAGTATTTTTAGGGGGGGGGGGTTACATGGTGTCATCATGTAAAATTATCATTTTACATCATGTAAAAACCTATTACACTACGAACCTAAAGAAAAACCTTCAGTTTTTGTTTTAAAACATTGTTTAATGTTATTCAATAAGTGATAATTGATCTTAATTTTCAGTATCCCTATAAGCTTGCTTTATTGAAAGGCAGAATATTAAAAAATCATTGTGCTATTGCTGAACTGGCAGCAGAATTTCCCAGATTTACAGTGTCTACCTTAGTATATTCACTGTCAATTTGATGGCTAGTTGTTGTACTTGTCATCAGTTTGGTCTTTATATTTAATTTTAGTACCATTTTTCACTGTAGTCCTTCACTTTCATTATTCAAGCTTTCAGATCCTTGGCATTTTCAATTATCAGTGGTGTCATCAGTGTAGCACAGGTGACTGATGTTTCTTCTTTCCATCTTAAAACCACATTCATATTTCAATTAAACTTTCTCAATATAGAATATAGAATAATTGCAGGGAGAGTTTATAGGCTCTTCTTACTCCTTTGCTGACCTGGAATTGGTCTGTTTCACCATATTCCATCCAAATTTTGGCTTTGCATGAAGTCAATGAGATACTCTGAGCAGGGGTGGGATTCAAATTTTTTAACAACCAGTTCTGTGGGCGTGGCTTAGTTGGTGGGCGTGGTTTGGTGGTCATGTGATTGGGTGGACGTGGCCAACTCAATATCACTCACATCGAGGCACGCATCTCCTTGCCTGCCCTCTCATGACTGTGGGGATGCTGCAACAGTCATGTGTGAAAAATGGTCATAAGTCACTTTTTTCAGTGCCACTGTAACTTTGAATGGTCACTCCACACAAGCAAAGTACCAACAAAGGAGGGGGAAAAAACTCCAGGGAAGTTCCAGAGACAGGAAGTCTAGTCCTGCCAAGAATGTAATAAGGGTTAAGAGAGAGGCAGTTTCTGTAAGCAACACCAGAATGTTTCCTTCCTGCCTTCCTTACAGGATTAGGCCCGTAATTTCTTCTAACAACCGGTTCTCCGAACTGCTTAGAATGTTAACAACCAGTTCTACCGAATAGGTGAGAACTGGTAGAATCCTACCCCTGACTCTGAGGGTCCCATTTTTCTAAGCACATTTCATGCCTTTTCATGCACAAAACAACCAAAGTCCAACAAATGAAGTACAGATGGACTTTTTTGGTGTGTGTGTGCATTCTTTGGCTTTCTCAATTATCCAGCATGCATCAGCAGTAATGTCTATGATTCCTTGGCCTCTTCTAAAACCAGTTTGAACAGCTGGCATTTCCTTTGCATGTACAGAGAATGTGAATGATTTGCTAGCATGTAAGAATATTGCACAATTATTTTCACACTGTTAAGTCTCCTTTTTTTAGTACTGATATGTAGACAAACCCCTTCCAGTCCATTTGCCACTGTCATTCTTCAGATTGGTTGGCATAGATTAGAACTTTTAAAGATTCTTATGCTTTTCCTTGCCATATTTCTATAGATATTCTATCAATTTCTGTAGCTTTCCAACTTTGTAATGAGCAGAGTTTATCTTTTGTTACCAGAGGATTTGTAATTAAGGAAAAAAAATTTAAGCCATCTTAGATGTTGACATTTCTATTGTACAGAATTTCACTATACTATTTGTTTTGTA